GCAATTGGGGGGGTTAGGTGGAAGGAAGGAAGGAAGGAAGGAAGGAAGGAAGGAAGGGAGGGAGGGAGGAAGGGAGGGAGGGAGGAAGAAAGGAAGATAAACGACACATGTGATACCTTGTGTTTGTAATAGACGTTTTGAAGGGTTGGGTTATCTCAGGAAGTTTATATCACAGCATTTGTTGTGGCTTGAATATGAAATGTCCACCATTATTAGTTCATGTCTATAAACTTGGTGCCTAGCTCATGACAGTATTTGGGAAGGTTAGGAGACATCTAGGAGGTAGAGCCTTGTTGCAGGAAGTATATCTCGGGGCCAGGCTTCGAGATTTTATAGCCTGGTCCCACTTCTTGTTGGCTTTCTGCTTTCTGATTTCTGATGCACTGTGACAAGCTGGCTTCATACGCCTAGCACCCACCATGCCTTCCCTGTGACGGTGGACTCTATTCCTCCAGGACTGTAAACCAAAATAAACCCTTTCTCCGTTCAGTTGTTTTGGTCTGAGTATTTCACCACAGCAACAGAAATAAAACCAGTGTAAGCAATTTGCAACTTATTATTGAAAATCTGTATTCTTAAAAATGTATGCCCCTTGCCGGGCATGGGGGTGCACTCCTGTAGTCCCAGCATTTGGGAGGCAGAGACAGGCGGATCTCTGTGAGTTCAAGGCCAGCCTGGTCTACGTAGTGAGTTCCAGGACAGCTGGGGCTACAGGGAGACCCTGCTTCAAAAAGACAAAAAAAAAAGTGTGCCCCTTTGACTAGTCACTCCTCTACGTGGCCTCACTTTTCTATTTATTGATCCTTTCCTCAGTCTCCCATGTCTTTACACCAGAATATTCAGCCCTATGGGGAGTGAGGAGGATATTCTCTTTTGCCTTCCAGGTGATTCCATAGAGCCTACCTTTTCATTTCTATATGCTTCATCAAGGCTTTGCTTAAAAGACACTTCAAAGAAATTTTGTGCCAGCTGTTTAGAGACTACTTGTGACAATGCGTCTGTACCCACAGATGCCTTTGTAAAGTACACCTTCACATTTTACTCCGCATTCAATGTAGCATGACATCAGGTACACTGACACTCACTGCACAGACAGACCCATTCATCTGACTAGTAATCAGTCCTGCAATTTCAGTTCCTGGTTTTACAAGCTGCAGATTATGAAGGAAGGCTCCATCTTCAACATCCTTGAAAACTGCTGATATCTGAGTAGCTACCAAACAGAGAAAACAAGCAAAACACTTGTAAAGTTGTTATTCTAATCATTTTCCGCATCTATTAAGCTTTCATTTTTATGTTATTGTGATCATTTCTTTGGACACAGGACCTATCAATAACCTCTGATAGAGAAACTTCAATTCCCTCTGTAATTTATTTAATGTTTAATTACAAATGTAAAGTTGCTTATTATTGGAAAAAGTAGCTTTGTACACTTTTCAAATGTTAATGCATTTGATAATGTTTCAATAGTTTAGTGATATTAATAATTGCTTATGGACATAATATGTTTCTATTCCTCTTTGGCATTGATAAACATTGTCAGGTCCCAAGCCTCAAAACTTTGGGGCCAAATTCAAGTTTCTTTTGACCTTTGTTGACAGTTCTGCCTTGATTTATTTACAGTCTCAAATTTAGATGCTAATTTGACTTTTCTTGGGCTTGATATGAAGTATTAAAAACTAATTATTAGAAAGCTGCTAGTGTAAAAAAGAACAGGTAAGAGATATGCAGTGAACTCCTTCCCAGGTCCTTTTATATTCTTTTTATAAAATAGAAAATGAAAACACTTGGGTAATACACTGAGGCAAAGAAGCAGCTAGAAGGCAGAACCAGCAAACAGGCTCTTCCTGCCCCTAAATCCATCCACCTCATCAGCCTGACTAATCTGGAACCTTCTACAATCTTAGTTGGGAAGCTCCAATTCACTGCTTCCTGCTTCCTTAATTGAAAAATATCTTAAGGATTACTCTGATGGCTGGCATTGGGGAAACAGAATTTAAAATCAGATCTTCTGCCAATCCAGACAACCTGCCAGAAAGGGAGTAATGGAAGTTGGTTTATTGTTGAATACATACTAAACCAGAATATACTATACATCATAGGCAAATCAACTAACAGATTGCAAACAGAAATCTCACCCTCTTGTTAGGCAAAAATAAAAAAAAATTACACACAAATAAGTTGCTTTCAAGTAAATAAAGACACAACAGCATGATTTGCCCCTCAGAGTTCACCCCAATTCACCTGATGGTGGCCATCTGTGTTAACTGACTCTATCCTGAAGAGCAACAGTCTCATTTCTTTGGGAGAGAAGGTTGGAAGGTGTTTTGGACTGAGGGCAGGTGCCTAGAGAATCAGGTTCTCATGTGGAGATGAGTGCTGTCGCTCCCTAGATACTTGTCTTTCTAAGAGTGGCTTTCTGGTCCTGGAGAAAGACTTTTCCTTGGTCATAAAGCTGGCAATGGACATTATATATATATATATATTTCAAAAGGAAGAGAAAGCAACCCAATTACCAGTTTTTTTAAAGAAACTTCTAAGAAAAAGGAAGGGAGGGAAATCACCTCCTTAAGTATAAGGAAGAATCAAGCCTCCTCTTTTAAACTTGCATTTGTCCTTACACTGGCTGCTTGTATATGAGTGACTCAGAATCTCTATTCTTTAGGCTTGGCTTAAGAATTTTTCGTAGGGGGCTGGAGAGGTGACTCTGCTGTTCAGAGCACTGGTTGCTCTTGCAGAGGACATGGGTTTGGGTCTCAGCACCCACATGGTGGTTAACAACTGTCCATAACTCCAGTTCCAGGGGATCTGATGTCCTCTTCTGACCTCCATGGGCACTGGACTACATGGATGCATTTACATGCATGTAGGTAATGCACTCATACACATAAAATACAATAAAAATAATAAAACTAGAATATTTGAAAAAGAATTTTTAGTAAGAATTTTGTCACTGAAACTTTGATGCTCTAATTAGATTAAATTATGGTTTTATATTTTTGTAATGTTAGCATCAAAAGACTACCTGAAAAAGTATGATCAATCTATCATAGTTCATCAATCTGCACATCATCTTCAGTGGACCAACAGTTCTAGTTCTGAATTTGGGTATTGTACTAATTTCTTTTCCTGTTGGTATGATAAAATACTCTGACAAAAGCAGCTTAAGGGCGAAAGTGTTTAATGGGCTCACAATTCCAGGTTGCAGTCCATCATTGTGGGGAAGTGAAGGCAGCAGGAACTTGAAAGAACTGTTCACAGCACAGGCACAGTCGAGAACAATGAATTAATGCATGCTGATGCTTAGTTCACTTTTCCTTTTCACATAATCCAGGATCCCTTGCCCAGGGAATGGTGCCACCCCCAGTGGGTGACTTTCCCACTTCAGTGAATTTAAGATAATCCCCACAGAAATGCCCTAATATGACAATCCCTCATTGATAATTCCCAGATGATTCTAGGCTATGACAAGTTTACAGTTAAAACTAATCACCATAGGAACTGTCATACATTCAGTGGAACTCATGCATCATTTTTCTGTGATTCTTATTTTTTAAATCTGAGCTCTTTTGATCAAATGGATTATATGGAAAAGTGCTTTGTTTTTCCATACTATTAGCTGAACCTGCATAGTTTCTAAATATTCTCTAAATACACTATATTTTGGCCACTATTAGAGTATACCATGTCAAATGTAAAGAAAATTAAGTCTTTTCATTCAGAATGAGTTGTATTTTATTTTCTGATTATATTCTTTAACAAAACATTCATCTGTTCATTTCTTCAGGGTGCGACTTTGACATTTTTGAGTTGTGATCATCCCAGCCTTCCAGAGAGCATTAAAGAAAATGTGTTACTTCGACTTAGAATCACAAATATTGATCAAACAGCTTTGGATTCTTTGAAGTAAGTCAAAAGCATTTATCATTTCAAAACTAAATGAAAGCACTATCTTAAAATGAGATTCTACCACAAAACATTTAGACTTCAGGTAAGGCTCATATTTTAAAAATCATAGCTCTTTGTGTGTAATCTACTCTGTGTTCTGACTTACAATCACATACACTTTGTGTTTGGGTACAATTACAATCAATTATAGCCAATTAAAAATTTAAAATTGTCTGATTTTATGATAAGGATAATTTTTAAGTTTGCCTTTGCCATTTTAGCAAGTGCTATCAAAGTAGGTTTTTTTTTGTTGTTGTTGTATTTTTTTTGGTCTTTTTTTTTTTTTTTTGAGGCAGGTTCTCCCTGTATCCATAGTTGTCCTGGAACTCACTATGTAGACCAGGCTGTCCTTGAACTCACAGAGATCCACCTGCCTCTGCCTCCCAAGTGCTGAGATTAAAGGCGTGTGCCACCACGCCTGGCCCCAAGTAGTGTTTTAAAAGATGGGATTTGGGAGCCAGTGGGATGGCTTAATGGATAAAGATCCTTACTGCCAAGCTGGAGACCTGAATTTGATTCCCAGAACCCACCTGGTGGAAGGAGAAAACCAATTCCCACAAGTTGTCCTCTGACCTCCACACATGCTCTGTGGAATGCACACCCTCATACACATGCACACAAAATAAATAAATGTAAAAAAAATTTAAATGAGCTAACAGTCCAATATTATAACCAGTTTCCTACACTGTTAGTGTGATGCCTTTCTCTCTCTCTCTCTCTCTCTCTCTCTCTCTCTCTCTCTCTCTTTTGTTTATCATAAAACAGTTATCAGTCTGCTATGGCTATACTGTTCATTGACTGATCATATATGTAGTAAAAAATAATGCTATGAATTATAAAGAGTAAGGACTAGTGAGGTTTGTTTTTAATCACAGAAATAAACACTCTTCTTGGTGGATGTTTCTTGATACCAATACGATTCAAATTGGTAACTGATGTGTGTGCAATTAGGGGCCTTAGTCTACAAATTAGCTGTTACAAAAAATTTGTTATTTATTAGTGCATCTTGGGAAGCTTTTAATGAATTTTTACATCTTATACTTTGCAAGGAAAAACTGCTTTAAAATTTAATAGCTCCAATTAAGTAGTTTAGAAAACATTAAAACACCTATAAAAAAGGAATCTCTTGGCGTTGGAGAGATGTCTCAGTGGTTAAGAGCACCTGAGACTCTTGCAGAGGACACAGGTTTGATTCTCAGCACCCACATGGCAGCTGACAACAGTTCATATTGCCTGCACGTAAGTAAGTGCTCCCATGTCGTGCAATGCCCTCGGAGGACAGAAGAGGCTGTCAGATACCCTGGAACTGGAGTTATGGACAGTTGTTAGCTACCATGTGGGTGCTGGGATTCAAACCCAGGTCTTCTGCAAGAACAGTCAGTGTTCTTAACCACTGAGGCATCTCTTCAGCCACTAAATAAAATATTTTTTAAAAAGGACTATGTTCACAGGTACCAGTTCTGTTTTCAGCTCTGAGCTCAATTCTCCATGGAGTCAAAGCAACAGATAAAGGGGGATTTGATTGAACTCTAGCTACCACTCCTCCAAATGTTTTTGAGGGTTTCTCTGAGTCTGGAGTAGGGAAGAGCTAATGTTTCTGTACTTTCTCGCAGAAGTGCTTCTGCAGAACATGAGGAAGACATAGTCAGCCAGGAAGCCAAGGACAGGCTGTTCCTCAGGGTCATTCAAGGTATGTTTTTACTTCACTCTAAGTATTAGCTATACTTTTTAACTGTTTTTATTATGATCAGTTTAAGCAGTATTTTTTTAGATACCTTTACATTTTGTAGCACTTGATTTATATTTCCTATTCAGTATTTGTAAAGTTTGTATATATATTTATTTATGAAAATATTTTTCATGATTTCTCTTATATTAATGATACTGAGTAAAAAGTATTATGTGAATTATAACTTAAGGATTTTGGAAAATATTAGATAGTATGGATTTCACTCAAACTAAATAAAATATAAAAAATTATTTTTTCTTCAAGCTTTAGTGTGTTTGTGTGTGTGTGTGTGTGTGTGTGTGTGTGTGTGTGTGTATGCAAGGTCAGAGGATGACTTGCAGGAGTCAGTTCTCCTTCCACCATGTGGGATCCAAACTTTCAGGTCATTAGGCTGGGCAGTGAGTGCCTTTACCCATTCATCCATCTTGTTGGGCCCAGAATATATGTTTTTTTTTTTTTGACAGGGTCTCACACTATAGCACAGGCAATTTGGATTTTATTGTATAGGCCAAGCTGGCCTGGGAATTGTGGCAGTCCTGTGTGAGCCTCCCAAAGTCTGGGATTATAGGCATGAGCCACCATAGATGTGTTTTATGCCTCAGGTTATGTCCTGAAGAGATCTATAGTCTAGTGCTCAACTGGAATGTTTCGGGTTCACGTACTAGTGAATGCATTCTATTGTGTATTGAGTAGATTTTTTGGTTCAGTGGACATATGACCTTGTGTAAATCCATTGTACCTCTTTCTTCATCTCTATGTGAGGGTTATAAAAATTCTTCTCATTTCCTTTCCAGGATGACTATATGCGTAAATTGGATGTAGGTAGGCTTAGGACCTTAAAACACTTTTATAAATTTCTTTGTAAGATCTAGTGTCATAACTGCAGCATATTAAGCTGTCATAAACAATTCCTTTGTTATAGCTCATAGTCTAGAAGGGAGGAATGTATAAAACAAAATCAAGTAACCACAGAAATCAATATATACTTAAAGAATTTTGAAAATCATTTAAAATCAGACATTCACTATAAGAAAGATAGAATTTGACTTGCTGACCAGCCAAAACTGTTGTTGAAACACCGATATTCTTATTTATATTTTAATGCATATGAATAGGTTCCAATGTAAAGATTATCTGTCTGTCTGTCTTATCTTCTTTTTATTTATTTTTGAGACAGGGTCTCACTGTGTAGACCCTGACTCTCTATGTAGACCAAGTTAACCTCGAACTCACAGAGATCCATCTGCTTCCTAAGTGCTGGTATTAAAGTGGCGTGTGACACTGTGCCTAACCTCTATTTTGAAGATTTTAAACTGTATAAAACTTTCTGAACTGATAATTTTTTAAAGAGAGTTGCTTGGCATCAATTTTATAACTCAGTTATGGGGCAGTTAAAGATATCTAGACAATAGAAACCAAGATTTTATTTTTAATATTTGCTTATGTTATTTCCTTGTGAATAAAGAGAATCATTATTTTTCTGTGTTTAAAATATAACAGTTTCGCCACACAGTGGTGCTGTAGTTCTGGCATATTATGTACATGCAGATGCAGATGTGTATATAGTTCTTTTTATTAAAAATGTCCTATCTGTTGGTCATCTACATGATTTTGTTGAATATTCACATTCTGTATTTCAATAATATCCTCTTATTTTCTCATAGGAGGAACAAGTGCAGTTTAATAGCTCTGTGCACAGAAGCACTTAGCTTTCATGTCTTTTTATTGAACAGATGAATTAAAAGAGCAATTATGTAAAAGAGGTGTTCGAATTTTGACTGGATTGGGAAAATACTTTCAGCATTTGGACAAGGAGGGAAAAGGATTTTTAGAAAAGGCAGATTTTCAGCAAGCTCTGAAAGCATTTCACATAGAAGTATCTGAAAAGGTATGTGCCAGAAATCATCTTCTGCAAAGAATATAATCTTCTTGCATGACCTTATTCACTTTTCTGTGAAATTTTAGTTAATTTGTTTCCTTTTTTATGCCTTATAATCAACATTAAACCATCAGGCAATAAGTTCAATTGGTTTTTAAATTTTTAAAAAATATATATTTTTAAAAATTTTGTGTATGAGTCTATTTTCTGCATGTATATAAGTGCACCAGTGTCGTGCAATGCCCACGGAGGTCAGAAGAAGGCATCAGATATCCTGTTTCTGGAGTTACAGATGGTTGTCAGCTGCCATGCGGATGCTGGGAATCAAACCTAGTTCCCCTGCAAGAGCAGTCAGTGCTCTTAACTCCTGAGCAATCTCTCCAGCCCCCGGATTTAAAATTTTTTTTAAGTGGAGTATTTAACAGCCAGGCATGTGCTATGCTCTGAGATGACATACTCTCTACTCTCATAATTTTTAGAACTAAAGAAAATGCTTATAAATTAATATATATACATCAAACAGAGAATGTCCTGGGAACACGTGTGACAGTACCCAAATTTAAGTTAGTTTATTAGGAAGGAGAGAGAAGATCACTGCAAGATTCCTGGGGGACCCATCCCATTTGAATAATGAAGAATTAACTGGACAAGGATGTGAAGAACAGTATCATTTGTTGTGTTATGTAAAGAACAATATCATTGTCTGCAAAAGATACTCCATACAAAGTAGAGCACAGGTCATATAATGGCTATTTCATGGGAAAAAGCAGCAGGTTAGCGGCTAGAGTGTGGTTCTCCCCAGTTGCGAAGGGCTCACCACACAGCCTCTTGCCCCTGCTATGAGCAGTCTTGCCCGGGATCTGTGCTCCCGATTGTCGTCCTCAGTTTGGCTGCAACTTTTTCAGTGTTCGTACAATGCCCCTGAACAAGCTCTGCTGTCTAATCTCTGCACCTTTCTATATTGCTTTCTATTTTGTCCCTCGATGCCACGTTGTGTTTTCTGGCTCTACTTGCATATAAGGTGCAAAGTCCCGCGAGGATAGGGACTGTTTTCCTGCTCTTTCTTTTGCACCCTGAATAGAACATGACATCCAACAAGTGCGGAATAAATAATGCATAGCCAGAGTGGGTAGATGGAAGGGAAAGAACAGGGAGAAGTTAAATCTAGTACAGGGAAGCCTTGTGTGCCATGCTTTGTTTTTTTTTAACTTTTACAAAACTTTATTGAGAATTTCATACATGTATATAAGGTGTTTTGATCAAATCCATGTCCACTCCCTCCCCTCCAGCATCCCCCCTCTGAAGAGCTAACCCTAAAATCTTTTAAGGATTGAATACAGTCTCCCAAATACTTTTGACATTTTTGGCCTTTGGAGAGTATGTTGCTAACAGGCCCAAGGACATTTTGACTTTTAGCCCAGAAACTGGCTACATTTCTTTGGGGTCTTTTTACCCTAACTGCCTAGCCAATTTCTTCCTCCTATTCTTACCAAGCCATCCTCTGAAGGGGTTACCCAAACTACCAACGGGGAATAGGGATGCAGACTGCTCTGGCTTCTTCCATGCTGAACAGGGGCGCTAACATTTTTGTGTATGTTGAAAGTACATGAGCTTGATTCATGTCAAGCCCTTCAGATAAAACCTTCTTTTGCACTGTTCTTTTTTTCTCAAAAATTGTCTTTTCACATGACACAGTGTATTTCTCAAGTTTAGATTCGCATTACAGCCTAAATACTTAGCAGTGTGATCTTGGGTAAGTCTTTTGACCTTTTTGATTGACAAGCTTTGCCTAAGCAGTTCAGTGATAATTACTCTATTCAGAGCTGCATGGAAACTCAATTGAAAAAATTAAGTGTAAATTTATTAACTATAAATACCTGTATTGATATGATATTGCTTATCACTGTGTGATATACTTGTTTGAGGGGGCTTTTAAATTTATTTGTTTTCTTTTGTTTGGTTTTGGTTATTTAAGACAGAGTCTCTGTAGCCCTGGCTAGCCTGTGTAGACCAGGTTAGCCTTTATCTCACCTACCTCTGCCTCCTGAGCACTAGGATTAAACGTATGTGCCAGGACACCTGGCTCCTTTTCACTTTACTGTGTTTAAACTTGTGACTTGTCTAGTGATAACACCACCTTCACGTCTTCCTTGCACAGATAAAAAAGTGAAACAGCAACAGTCAAGTGCGGTGCTCTGGTGTCTTTTTTGTTAAACAAGAGTAATCCATCTAATATGAAAAAGCACTGCTACTGCACTTGTTCTCTTTGATTGCTAAATATTTATAATGTAAGGGTGAAACTATAAGAATTACATAAGATTTCTAACATAAGGATGTGAAGGAGATTCTTTTCTCATGTTTTATTCTATTATAAAATAAATTAAATAGTTTATTAATTTTTTGAGGCCCTGATGTATGCCAGGCAAGTCTTTACCACTTAGCTACATGTCCAGTGCTTTCACGTATTTTAAATAATATTCTTGTTTACTTTCCTCTTACTTCACTAGAACCTGTGCCTGAAAATCTTGAATTTCTGTTTTCTAATTAAAGTTTTATCTGGAAAAGTTAAAAAATGGAAGGGAATATTTTTGAGTACCTATTTGCCAAGCACTTAGATGTTTTATTTACATTATCATTTAAAGCTAACAACTTGATTGAAACATTGGAAATATAGTTATCCAAGTTTCAGAAAAGGAATGCTATAATTTTTTTTGTTGTCAAGAGCAGTGAATAGAACAGTCTATTAAATGGCACATTTGCCAAAGAAGTATGGGGTAATGGCAGAGTGAAGAAACTGACACACGGTGTTTACTTAAAATTATACCTTTCGGTGTCAATTATGGAACAGCACAGGAGTCATTTGAACTGTCTATGTGCTCAAGTAAGACTAGAAGAAATACAATTAGTGGTCACAATACTAGAGGCATTTTAGAATCTGAATAGACTTGAATTGTCACAGATATAATACATTTAAAAGTACTGTAATGCTCAAAGCCAAGTAGATGACAACCATACTATTTTATATAAAAAGGCACTGAATGGTAACTGTCCAGGTCTGTGAGGTATAGAGAGGGGAAAGGGTGGGCAAATGAAACAAACTTTCAATTAGATGAGAGGATAGCTAAAACAGATTATACGTACTCTTACTACAAAGAAATGTAAAATATTTGAAATAATAAGGATGTGATTTAGCCTGATTTCATCATTCTGCAGTGTGTATGTATGGTGGGACAGCATGTTGTGCTCCCTAAATAGATGCAAATACTACTTGTCAAAAAACAGCAAAGGACATTAGGAGACATAGACTAGATTCTATAGGCCTTATTATATATATATATATATATATAATATATATATAATAGAGTACATTAAAACGGGCAGGGGAGGGGTACTAGGGAAAGGTGACATCTATATATTGAATTATATTATGTTAAAATCACAAAAGTTCAATAGAAATGTAAAAAAATAGCAGAATTAGGCACTTAGGATATAGTAGAGGTAGAGTGTTTACCTAGTATTCAAGAGACTCTTGGTTCAATCCTCAGCATTTTCCTGCCCCCCAATTAATATAATTAAAAAAAAAAAAACACATACTTGTGTGTTTTTGCTACTTTGGATCAGATCCTTAATTTGCTTGAGTGTGCCTCAGAACCCTTTTCAGTAGTTGTCATGGCTGTTTAATTAGATTTATATATAGCTTTTTGAATTTTCTTATTGAATAGGAAACTTTGTCTAGGGCTCCAGATGATTTAGCAAATTATGATTAGGATGATTTTTGTTATGACTGTGTATAACTTAAACACGTAACAACTCTGAAAATTTATAGAACTTTGAGTCTTCGTGGCTAATTCTGATCGGCACTGGCCATGACAAGGACAAGGTTGATTATGGAGAATTCAAGCGGGCCATTATTGGTGAAATGAATGAATATAGGAAATCATTTGTTCGAAAGGTAACTGTTAACCATTTTTTTAAACTGCTGCTTTTAATACATTGTTAGATTCATTACTTTGAACTTTAATGAAATATTTAAAGCATGTTACATTATTTTATTTGTAAAACATAAGCAAGCATAGATATGTTCATATAAATCTACCCAAAATAAAGTAAAATAATTTACATATAGGTTTGAGGCAACAATTGATAAAACTGAAATTTCAAATAAAATTGTCTTCTAAATGACTAGCTCTGTAAACTGTTGCTTCCGTAAATTCCTAGCCTGTTGCACTATATTGGCAGGTATTATCTTGTGTCTCAGTTTGCTAACCCACAGAGTTAATGGAAAAATGTTATGTGATAAAACCATTCCTAGCCATGCAACTTTTCCCAGTGTCAGTGCTCAATCTACGTTATTTTAAAATGATGATTAAAAATCCTTCTGTGGGGGCTGGAGAGATGGCTCAGCAGTTAAGAACACTGATTGTTCTTGCAGAAGATCCAGGTTCGAATCCCAGCACCCACATGGCAGCTAACAACTGTCCTAACTCCAGTTCCAGGGGATCTGGCAGCCTCTTTTGTCCTCCTCGAGCATTGCATGACACGGGTGCACTTACCTACATGCAGGCAATACACGCATACAGATAAAATAAAACAAAATTAAAAAAAAATAAAATAAAATGTATTAAAAAAAAAAATCCTTCTCTGGGAGTGGTGGCACACACCTTTAATCCCAGCAGTCAAGAGGCAGAGACAGGCAGGTATCTGTGAGGCTGAGGCCAGCTTGGTTTACAAAGCGAGTTCCAGTCAGGTTGGGGCTACAGAGAGACCCTGTCTCAAAAAGACAAGACAACAACAAAATTTTTCTGGGTTTTACAATATACATACTAGATGTTAAAATGAAGATTTCCAAAGATCTTGTTAAGTTGGATTTAAGGGAACTCTAGGTCTGGAGAGATGACTCAGGAAGTACAGTGTTTCCCGTGGAAGTGTGAGGACCAGAGTTTGCATCCCCAGAACCCTCATAAAGCATAGTGAGGCAGCACATGTCTGTACTGTCAGTGCTCCTGTGCCCAAATGAGAGATGGACACAGGGGAATCCTGGAAGCTGATGGGTCAGCTAGCCTGGTGGATGCAGTGGCTAAGAACAGAGACCCTATCTCAAACAAGGTGGAGTGTGAGGACTAATAACCAGGGTTGTCCTCTGACCTCCACACATGTCCCATGACACGTATGAGCTACACATACACACCTATGAGCACACACATCACACACTTACATACATATACCACACACACATATATAAAGTAAACTATTCCTATTTTTATAGGAAACTACATATTACTACAGTTCCAGTGGCCACTTTTAATTTTGAGTGGTATGTTTTTTTCTTTTGTGTATGTATACAATAAAAAATACATATGCATCTCATTTATTCAAAAGTTTTCTATATAAAGTGGTCTAAACAGTTATTGAAGGTGTCCAAGTAGAAAAGTTGAAGCTCTCTACCTTTACTGACCAAGAAATGCAATAAAATCCTTAAATAAAACAAATTTATCACATAGCTATAAGTTTGCAGTTGTCTTTTACCTGTCATGGTAATAAGTTTGATCATCTGGAATAGAAGTTGAATAATTCTATTATTCATAAATCTTGATACTGGGAATGGAGAGAGAGGAAAAAAAAAGTTATAGCCACAGACTGGTCAACTAAACGAATACATAATTATTTTCTCAGAGTTTGGACAAAGGAAGTCCCAGAAAGGTCCAGCAGGTTTGGTTTCCTCTGAGCCTTCTGCCAATGGTCTGCAGGTGGCTGTTCAGTGTTATCTCATTACTTTCTCTCTCTCTCTCTCTCTCTCTCTCTCCCTCCCTCTCTCTCTGTTCTACTCCTGTCTTAAAGGATGCTAATCATACTGGCACACGCCCTAATGATTCCATTTCAACTTTAATTACTTTCTTAAGAGCTCTACTTCCAAATATTCTGTTCTGGGGTACTAGCTGTTAGGGTTCAGCATATGACTGGGGGATGCAATTGAATCTGTAGCAGGTACAACATTGTTGTGAATTAAATATTACGAACAAACAAATTTGGCTCCGGTTTTGACTCTTGGCAAACAAAGAATTGTTTTGGATAGCCTGAATGTTTCTGTGTATCTAGTTCCTTTCTTCATATTTTATAATACTTGGAGTTGCGTTGAATTGGAAGAGCAATAAAACAGCCAATAATTCAGAAGGCAGTGTTAAGTTTCGAGAAATAAGTATTTCACTTTTTCATTGATTTTAGGAGTATTTATAGGTTCACGTTTTGAATTAAAATACTTTGCTAGCTATTCGTTGTGGTCATTTATCAGTTTCATGAGTCCTACAGCTAGACGTTACCACAGTTTCTTTTTTTAAACCCAACTTCTCAGTTCACAGAAAAGCAAAGCCAGGGCAGGAAAGGCTAGATTCCTTTTTCCAGGTCAGGATGCTGGAAGGGGCCAAACAGAAAATTTGAATGCAGTTTCCTAGCGTCTTCTAAACATTTTTCCACCTGTATTTATAACTCTTCTTGGTATACCTGCTTCCTTTAAACTGTCTTGTTTATAGTTCAGAAATGAATAACTGCAAAATAGAAAGTTGTCTAATAATCTCACATAGAAAAATCCCATGTCTTTATTTAGGTGTTCATGAAACTGGATTTCAACAAAACTGGCATTGTGTCTATGACAGACATAAGAAAATGTTATTGTGCAAAGAAGCATCCACGTGTGATTTCAGGTACTTATAATGAGTCAAAATGGATTTTATATCTAAAATGCCCATTAATATAAGTACTGTCTTTAAATTATACTAATTTAAGGAAGGACATGAACAATTTTCTTAAATCAATAATTTGAGAGCTATTTGCCCTTCTTCATTTAAAAATTCTTAGATCTATTGTCAGTACTCATTCCTTTGTTATTTATATTCTAGATAGAACTCCTTTTTCTTGTTTGCAGAATAAAGTATTTAAGCTTATAAGAAGAACACAAGAGATTTGAGAATAGATGATCAGCTCTAGAAGGCTCTGAGTTAGTTTAACTGTATCTTCTGATATAGTTATACCTAAGGATTTGTGGAAGATTTATATCTTTATCTAGGAGTTCAAGGTCATCCTACCTGGGGAATTCCAGGCTAACTTGGGTTACTGAGGCCCAGTCTCAACAAAGAATGAACAAACAAACATTATATGTAGTTTATTTATTTATTTTAATTGGGGGGGGTATGAAACAGAAGATAGATTGGCTCTTCTAAATTTATAATTAGCAATTTAAATCAAAATAGCTTGCATTTCTAGTGTTATTTAATAGCCATTAGTTTTTTTGGGTGGGGGTTGATTTCGGTTTTATCTCTTTAAGCATATGTCACCTTCTACTTCTTTTAGTATATATATCACATACAAGAAAAAAACCAGTTTACTTTCAAAATGAGGTGACTTCAATATTGTTTTCTTTTTGTCTTTTTCTGGCTAGTAATCTTAATTAGGTGCTTAAGCAGCTTAGTTCCATTAATGGTTGTGGATTCTAGCGCCTGGAGGGGTTTGCTTTGTTGTCTGGTAAGCCTTAGTAAATTCCAGAAATTCCTTTGTCTTTGCATTCACATTAAAGGGTACACTAGCCAGCTACACTTTCTTAAAAAGAGAAAAACCTTTTACTGATATTTTTATATAAAAAAGAAATAACTTTTTATTTTTCATTACAAATTATAATCTGTGTGTATACCCGTTTATGGGATAAAAGTTGTCTACAATTTTTTTTTTTCAGACAGAACCTTGCTGTGTAGACAGGATTGTCTCCAGCTTCAGAGACCTTGCTGCCTCTGTCTCTGCCTCTGCTTCCTGAGTGCAGTTAACTTTAGCTGTAGAAAGTATTCTCTTTTTTACTTTGCTTAAGTAGCTTATTAGAAATTATCTTAAGGTGGGGGTCCCCAAATATAGTTTTTTGTATACTTTAACTTTTTTGGTTTGTTTATTTTTTTGTGAATCATTGTGATTATCACACAATATGTTTTGATGGTATTTAGATCCCCTCACCTATCCGTACCTCCCTTTACTGTCACTCACCCAATTTAATGTACTTTTTTTCTGAAATTTTAAATGCATAATTTTCTTTTGTTTTCCTCTGAGTATTGTTTGACCAATTTCTGTAGCTTTTCATCTTTGAATTCCTTTACTAAAAATTCTGAATACTTTTTTCTTCTACATTCTATGCTAAAACCCAGAGAATATATCAAAGTACAAAAGAGGAGGACAGGGGTAGTGATGGAGTGGCAAATTATGAGACAAATTAATTCTAGTTCATGTTTAAATAAATTGGAGGGAAGTTTGACATAAGATTTTAAGCTGTTGAGATTATTTCATAAGATGAATTAGTATTCCTTTTTCATCATCAGTCATTTTGCTGAACTTTTACGGAAAATACTTAACAGTCAGTATTATTTCTACAGGCCATTCGACAGAGGAAGAAATCAAATCTTCTTTTCTAGAGACATTAAAAGATGCCTGCAGCAAGTCTGATGAAGTGTCCTATGGTGAATTTGAAGATTACTATGAAGGTCTAAGTATAGGGATAGCAGATGATGAAGATTTTGCTAACATCTTACGCACTCCATGGGGAATCTAGTTTTTCATAATGTATATTTATTTCATCAGCACAATGTGTTTTATAGGAAAGATGAATTTTATAGAAAGTATGATCAAATCTTGTATTTTTTCTAAGACTCCTTTTATTTAAATTTTTTTTCAATAAACAAGTCTGGGAAGAAATATTTAGAAAGATAGATGTAGATGTGTGCTTGTGGGCACACACTGATGCTTCCCTGTCTATAAATTTGAAAAGACAAGTCTTTTTGGTTTATTCCATATCTTGGTTATATTTTAGAAAAGTAGTTTTTTTAAAATTAGCCTTAATAAGAAAGTTGCATCTTCATTAAATGATATGAGAATTTCTATATAGTAACCAAATTTCTTGTCCTTCAGTTTTTTGTAACCTCACCCTAAGAATATAATTGCCAAAATTCTCAATTTAATGACTTGGGATTGAGCTCAAAATTTATGAGTGAGGTTAAAATAGTCATTTTAGTTATTAGTAGATATTTCCTGTAGCCTTAATATTTAGAATGCTTGAAGTTTACCCCTATAGTGTACATTTAAAGAGACTTATTTTACATATTTTTGTCTTCAAAATATATACTGCTATTCAGTGAAGAAAAATTATATTGTATTTTTTACTGTATTTTTACTGTTATATTACCTGCATACAAGCATTGCTTAGGTATAAATAATAAAATATAAGAAATGTTGTAATGTGGAAATGTTCCTGTATATTATTAAATAAAGAACTCAGGAATAATTCAGTGAATTTTATCCAGAATGTAAAAGCATATTTTATGCCACAAATTAAATGTGTGGCATTATAAACATCTATTTTTGTGTAATAGACTGATAGAACATTTTCTTCTAAACATGCTTTATTTAATGGCTTAATGTTCTAAAATCATCCTTTCTAAATTCTATGTTCTTTACTTTTTACTGGACAGAGACAATGGAGAATTTTACAGCATCATTTCTAAGTTCATAAATTTATATCTTGATAGCATAAATTAAAAAAATAAAATTGAGTGAAGTAAGTGGTTCTGAAATGAAAATATATTCTTTTCAAAATTTGATTTATACATATCATTTCATTTGTCTATTCTTGGCAATATAAGAAGAATATATGTGAAGTCAGCAAATATATATCCTAAAGGTTGAAGAGATTCTAAAACTTGCTCATGAAATATAAGAAATAAATGTGCCTAAATTCTTTACTTCTTGGCATGCTTTTTAGACAATTGAAATTAAAACAGTATGATAGAAAATGTTTTAGAAGAAATATCTGTAACACTGTAAGTCATATTTTAAAAATTCACCTAACTATTGTTGGAAAAAAAATGAAATACCTTGATGAATGCTGTAAGAACTCTGCATTTTGATAGAAAACTCTGTTTAAAATGTTGATTTAGATTTACTTGCTAAGCTTGCCTGTTCTGCCTGATTGTATCTACCACACATGGATGATTAACCTAGTTGAAATGCTAAGAATTGAAGTGCTGTAAACCTCCTTCCTGGACCCTGGACCCCAGACTCAGTTGATTTACAATGTGTCCTGTAGGCCTATTTGCACATACCAGATAACCGATAAGGAACAAAAGAGGGAAGTTGCACCAGGCTTACACCAGATCTACCCTTCCTGGAAAAGATGTTTAACCGAAACTATAGCTTTTAGAAGATGTTTGATCAAAGTGTCTGCTGAGGAATGCTTTTTGTGTAATGACTATGTGGGCCTATATAATCTGTACCTGAAACTGAATGGGGGTCGATCGTTCTGACCAGACTTGCATATCTCGGGAAGCCGGTCAACCCCAGCTAGCTGGAAACTAAAGACTCTGCTTGATTTTTATATCTCCAATCCCGTGTATTTGTTATCTGGAGGGGACCCATCGAGTCACGGACCCTAACACTATAAACAGCTTAAGTTCTGTTAATTGTTCTTATGTTTAGGTGACTATTCAGAGTGTTAAGTATACACATAGTATTTTTCACTGATCAAGTTTTAGTTAGCTCTCTTTAATAAATATTTTCTTAATATGGCAGTCATATTTTCCTGTGAATGTAATTAGAAAATCTACAAGCTGTCCTACTGTAAAAAAGGGGACGGACTTCTGAAATTTAGCATGTTACTATGACAGCGTACTCTAAACATAAACCTCACCCTCTTTATTTTTAGTATTTTCTTTTCATTTATGAATGCGTGGGGGGGGCTTGGTTTCCATGGAGGCCAGAAGAGAACATTGGATCAACCCTGGAGCTGGAGATACAGGCTGTTGTGAGCTGCTTAACATGGGTGCTGGGAATTGAACTCTGAAAAGGCAAGTGGTCTTAACTGCTGAATATCTGCCCAGCCCCTAAACCTCACCCTCCTAATATAAATGGTCACATGTGTCTATTGGTAGTGTTTATACTTAGGAAGTATAACATTTTAATAGTTAATTTCTTCTCTGACTTACTTGCTTCCATGTATTTTTTTTCGTGTGTGTGTGTGTGTGTGTGTGTGTGTGTGTGTGTGTGTGTTTGTATCTGTGCCACAGCACACACGTAGAGGTCAAAGGAAAACCCCAATGGGAGTCTTGACCTTCCACCTTGTTTGAGGCAAGATCTCTTTTGTTCATAGCTAGCTGCATGGCTGTCGCTTGGGAAACAGAAGGAGGATCACAAGTTTGAGCCCTGCCTAAACTATATAATGAGACCCTGTCTCGAAAAAATAAATAAGTAAAACAGGGCTGAGGAGATGGCTCAGCAGGTAAGACACTTGCTGTGTAAGAAACAAGTAAGATAATTTATAAGACCACTTGCTGTGCAAGAGAACCTGAGTTCAAATGCCCCCAGAACATGTTTAAAATGCAATGTGTAGTCATGGACCTATAATCCCATTACTGTAAGAGGCAGGCACAGAAGAATCAGTGGGGCTTGATGGACATCTGCCTAGTTTCATATTCTGTGAGAGATCTAGTCCCAGTGGAGTAAAGGTCAGAGTGGTAGAGCAGGACAGCGGACAACAGCTGACGTTCTTCTCTGGTCTCCACACATACACCTGGACACATGTACATATGTTCGTATACACTATACATGTATACCACACACAAACAAATAAATCAATACTAGTATTTCTGGAGCTCTGTGTGTGTGTGTGTGTGTGTGTGTGTGTGTGTGTGTGTGTGTATGTGTGTGTTTGGCATAAAGAAAAGTTGGCCACTGAGAGCATTTTCTCCAAATAGGAACTTCTGCTGTTGTAGCTCTGGTAAAAGATAACCTCTCAGACCTGTCTTCGCTTTAAAGTCTTTTTACTCCATTCTGAATATTTTTTAATTATTTATTTAATAACCACATACTTAGAAGAAGCATTTCATTACAACAGCATTGATATATTCAACAACAATTTTCTGAGCTAAGATGAATCTCTTTCAAAACTGGCTGTAAATTTTTAGATTTACAGTTGAATTATTACAGTTATACATTATTGTACTCAGTAAAACCCTATAGGACATAAAATT